TTATAACCTGAAACAAACCTTAGTAACCTGGTATTAACCTGGTAATAATCAGATAATAAACTGAAACAAACATTAGTAACCTGGTAATAACCTGGTAATAATCTAATAATAACATGAAACAAACATTAATAACCTGGTAATAATCGGATAATAACCTGAAATAAACCTTAGTAACCTGGTAATAACTTGGTAATAATCAGATAATAACCTGAAACAAACCTTAGTAACCTGGTATTAACCTGGTAATAATCAGATAATAAACTGAAACAAACATTAGTAACCTGGTAATAACCTGGTAATAATCTAATAATAACATGAAACAAACATTAATAACCTGGTAATATTCAGATAATAACCTGAAACAAACCTTAGTAACCTGGTATTAACCTGGTAAAAATCAGATAATAAACTGAAACAAACATTAGTATCCTGGTAATAACCTGGTAATAATAATAATAACATGAAACAAACATTAACAACCTGATAATAATCTGACAATAACCTGAAACAAACATTAGTAATCTGGTAATAACCTGGTAATAATCAGATAATAATCTGAAACAAACATTAGTAACCTGGTAATAATCTAATAATAACATGAAACAAACATTAATAACCTGGTAATAATCTGATAACCTGAAACAAAATTAATAACCTGGTAATAATCTGATAATAATCTGAAACAAACATTAATAACCTGGTAATAATCTGATAATAACCTGAAACAAACATTAGTAACCTAGTAATAACCTGGTAATAATCTGATAACCTGAAACAAACATTAGTAACCTAGTAATAACCTGGTAATAATCAGATAACAATCTGAAACAAACATTAATAACCTGGTAATAATTTAATGGAAATCTGACAAAACCCAGGTAATAACCAGATACAAACCATTAGTAACCTTGTAATAAAATGCAATGAACAGTTAGCAACTGGCAATACCCTGCAACAACCTGGTAATTAGAGGAAAGACAGGTTCTAAAGATAAGGAAAATATACATGTTCTAAAGATGAGGAGGACAGATGGCTTTTAAGACATTCTGACCTCTTTGGTCTCTCCGTCTTCAGGTCGGTAGGTGACAATGTATTTGCGGACGGCTCCGGGTGCGGCATCCCAGTTGAGCCTCATGGCACTGTGGGTCACATCTGAGATCCTCAGGACTCCACCCGGCAGCATGGGTACTGAGGGAGGACAGCAGAACCAGGAGCTGAGACGAGCCAGCAGACACTTTGTCTGAGCTGCTGTTCATCTGGTTTGTGTCAGGAAAATAAATTCCAGGATGCTCGAGAAAACAACCGAGTTCAGTTTCCTGAAAACCATTTTAGGCCAAAAGTGAAAGAAGAAAATCCAATAAATCCTTTGGAGGACTGAAGTGATGCTCCTCTGAGACAGAATAAATCACTTCAGTTGGAATAAGCCTTCAACAGGATCATTTAAGGTTGTTTTGCTGTTTCTGCATTTAAACTCAGGAATACGTTCCTGCAGCTGGGGGAGGTTTTCCACCTCAGTCAGAAAAATAAATGAATCTTTAAAAACCAACAACAACAGCTGCTCCACATTTTATTCCATTTAGACACAAAATTAAGTCTGAATTATTAATTTGTAAATCTGTCACCAGCTACAAACCAAACAGATATTTCAGCTTTTATTTGGGACTCTAAACTCTGGAATCCATCATCTTCTACTTTATCCGAAGTCAGGTTAGGTCGATTTCAACCACTTGTATCCGCGATCTTGTTCTATAAGTCACTACCCAAAGTTTGTGGCCATAGGTGAGGATAGGAACAAAGACCTACTGGTAAAAAGAGAGTTTCTCCTTACAGCTCAGCTCCCTCTGAACCACAACAAACCGGTACAGAATCAACAAAACTGCAGAAGCTGCACTGATCCATCTATCAATCTCACGCTCCATTCTTCCCTCACTTGTGAACAAAACGCCAAGATACTTGAACTCCTCCACTTGAGGCAGAACTTCACCCCCAACCCGGAGAGAGCAATCCACCCTTTTCTGACTGAGAACCATGGACTCAGATTTGGAGGTGCTGATCTTCATCCTAACTGTGAACCATTCCAGTGAGATCTGAAGATCACTGTGCTACAATCACATACTTGCGTAACACCCCCCACAGTGTACCTCGAGTAACATGGTTGAATGCCTTCTTCAAGTCTACAAAGCACATGTAGACTGGATTAGCAAACTCCTATGACCCCTCGAGGACCCTAGTGAGGGTAAAAAGTCAGTCCAGTGTTCCATGGCCAGGACGGAACCCGCATTGTTCCTCCATAATCTGAGGTTTGACTATCGATCAGACTTTCTTCTCCAGTACCCCTGAGAGGCTAAGGAGAGTGATGGTCCTATAATTGGAGCACATCCTCCAGTCCCCCTTTCTAAAGAGACAAACCACAACCCCAGTCTGCCAATCCAGTGGCATTGCCCCCGATGTCCACGCATTGTTGCAAAGGTGTGTAAACCAGGACAGCCCCACAACATCCAGAGCCTTGAGGAAATCAGGACAGATCTCATACACCCTTGGAGCCCTGCCGCTGTGAACCTTTTTATCTACCTCAGCTATCTCAGCTCCAGATTTGAACAGACCAGCCCCAAAGTCCTCAAGACTCTGCATCCTCCATAGAAGATGTGCCGGTGGGATTGAGAAGGTCCAAGAAGTATTCCTTCCACCTCCCGATGACATCACTAGTTGAGGTCAAAAGCACCCCAACTTCACTGAGCCCATTGTTATTGAAGTGCTGCTTCCCTCACCTCAGCCGCCGGATGGTTTGCCAGAATATCGTCTGAGCCGATTGAGAGTCTTTGTCCAAGGCCTCACTGACCTCCTCCCACATCCGAGCTTTTGACTCATCAGCTGCGGTCCACTTGGCCTGCCAATACTCCTTAGCTGCCTCCGGATTCCTACCAGCCAGCAAGGCCAGATAGGACTCCTTCTTCAGGTTGACAGCCTCCCTTACCCAAGCTGTCCAACACTGAGTTTGAGGATGGCTACCGCGAGAAGCACTGACAGCCTTGCATCCACAGCTCAAGTCAGCCGCTTCAAATGAGGCACAGAACATGGCCCAATCTGACTCAATGTCTCCCACCTTGGTTGGGATGTGGGTGAAGTTCTCCTGGAGATGTGAGTTGAAGATATGTCTGACAGGTCCTCTGCCAGCTGTTCCCAGCAAACCCTCACTACACGCTTGGGTCTACCGGGTCTGTCCGGCATCTTCCCCCATCATCTGATCCAACTCACTACCAGATGGTGATCATTTGACAGCTCAGCTCCTCTCTTCACCCGAGTGTCCAAAACATGGATGTCCTGGTGGCACTTTTGGACACCCTCATGTTCAAACATGGTGTTTGTGATGGACAAACTGTGACTAGCACAGAAGTCCAACAACAGAACACCACTCAGGTTCAGATCAGAGAGGCCATTCCTCCCAATCACACCTCTCCAGATCACACTGTCGTTACCCACGTGGGCGTTAAAGACCCCCAGCAGAATAAAGGAATCCCCAGCTAGAGCACCTTCCAGCACCACTACAAGAATCATCAATCATTTGGTGCGTACGACCATCAGAGCTTGTCCCCCCACCCAAAGGCACAGGGAGGCTACCATCTTATCTACCAGGGTATACTCCAACACACAAAAACCAAGTTGGGGGGCCAAAAGTAGACCCACTCCAGCTCGGTGCCTCTAATCATGGACAACTCCAGAGTAAAGTCCAGCCGTTTTTGAGGAGATCATTCTGGAGCACATGCTATGCGTTGAGGTGAGCCCAACTATAACTAGCTGGTCTCTCTCGAACTCAGGAACAAACTCAGGCTCCTTCCCCACCAGAGAGGTGACATTCCATGTCCCAAGAGCCAGCTTCTTTCGTGAATATTTATTTTAAAAATTAAAATCTCGAGTTTAATTTGAGCCCAGAGAGATTTAGCCTTTATTTATCTGGACTACTTATGTGAAGCAATGACCTTACAAGTGACTCCTCGGTCCGTCAGCGCCTCGCTGGCCATCTCTCCATACAGAGCCTGGATGCTAACAGAGTACTCTGTGTTTGGGGTCAGTTTCAGCAGCTCTGTGTCCGTTACTTCGCCTCCAACACGAACCTGCAGAGGAGAGAAATCTCCATCAGATCATTGAACACATGGACATCCTCCAGAACTGTTCCAAGGTTCTGATCCAATCCTTTTTTATGGTTTACTTCCTAAGATCCAAACTCTCCTGGAATCTAGACCATCAGTTCTCTAGACTTCCTAAAGGTCCTTCAGAGGTTTTCTTCTGACTTTGGCTGTTTTTTCTGAAAGTTTCAATTCTTGTTCTGATCAAAAAGAGATTTAACTGAAATTGCTAAAGGTTCATGTATCGCTCAGGTTCTGGTTTTCAGGTTCTGGTTCTCAAGTTCTGGTTTTCAGGTTCTGGCAGAGATCTGTCGCAGGAACCGAAACCAAGCTGAAACTTGAAACAAAGTAGCTAAAGCCCAAAGAACAAGTTTGAAAGAACGTCGTCAGGTCTGGACCACTATAATAGATTACAGGAGGGTCTAGATCAGTGGTTCCCAAACTTTTTATCTTCTGACCCATAAACTATCCATGGCAAAAACCTGTGATCCCAAATATTACTGATCTGAGTACACAAACTTCTTTAATAACCCTAAAAACACAGGCTTTTGACAATCTAAACAGCTTGTACACAAATGTACTTATTTATACTTATTTTGTGTTTTTGTAATAATTTTAGGAAAAATATTACATCAGCAATTATTTTATTACCCTTTAAATTTATTTATGGAGATTTTCCAAGGTGCTTCATGACCCATAATTGGGTCCCAAGCCCAACTTTGGGAACCAAAGTGCAGTGGTTCCCAAACTTTTCAGCTTTTGACCCACAAAATAACAGCAGCGGAGACTTGTGCCCCCAACTACAGTATTTTTGGATGATAAACATTTGTATCAGGTCAACAAAACATAGTAACAATATTTTTATACCACATTTATCCATTTTAAACACACTAAACTCACTCCTTTGTAACAACTAAGGCAAAAATGTAATTAATTCAGAAAATCTTTTCAGGACCCCACCTTGATGTTTCGGGACCCCACTTTGGGTCCCGACCCCAACTTTGGGAAACACTGGTCTAGATCATTGTGAGGACAATATGAAAACAAGAGGACTGGATCAGAACCAGTTCCGTCTGTTCTTTGACCTGTGTTCATCTTCAACAACCTTCTTTCTTTCATCTTTCTGATGAGGAGAAAACAGGTTGAACAAATGTGTTTCATGTTAAATGAGTCACGCTGATAAATTAATTTTTAATTTGGGTCCAGCTGCATCCAGATGTTGTCCCAGGATGGACCACATTAAGGTCCGTTCAGTCAGAACCTTCATGTAGTCTAACACCACAGAGGTGTTCAGATCCATCTGTTCACGTTCTTTTTCCTCCTGATGACTTCAGGCCATGAGCTCATCGTTTCATTAACACGCTGCTTCGAGTCAGCCTGCGTTTGCTGGGTCTGCAGCTGAGGTTCACTTCCTGTCCACAACATCTGGAAACAGTGACGCCATGCGCAGAGACCCCCCTCTTATAAAACACATGAGTAATGCTGAACACACAGACAGCTGTGAGCAGGGCCCAGTCCAAAATACAATTTTGTGTCAGAATCAGACTCTGAGCAGACATCTGTCCTGTCCCTCAGAATAAGCATGTTCTTTCCCTCAGATTAAACATGTCCTGTCCCTTAGATTAAGCCTGTCCTGTCCCTCAGATTAAATCTGTCCTCTCCCTCAGATTAAACCTGTCCTGTCCCACAGATTATAGACTAAATCTGTCCTGTCCCTCAGAATATAGACTAACTCTGCCCTGTCCCTCAGATTAAACTTGTCCTGTCCCTCACATTATAAACTAAATCTGTCCTGTCCCACAGATTAAACATGTCCTGTCCCTCAGATCATAGACTGAATCTATCCTGTCCCTTAGATTAAACCTGTCCTATTCTTCAGATTAAATCTGTCCTGTCCCTCAGATTATAGACTAAATCTATCCTTTCCCTTAGAATAAAACTATGCTGTCCCTCAGATTAAAGACTAAATTTATTTATTTATTTATTTACTGTTATTTTACCAGGCAAATCCCATTGAGATCTCAGATCTCTTTTTCAAGGGCGGCCTGGGCCTGAAGGCAACCTATTGTACATGATTTTGTGTTGGTGTGTTGTGGGGGAAACCGGAGTACCCGGAGAAAACCCACACAAGCACGAGGAGAACATGCAAACTCCGCACAGAAARACCCCAGGTCCGAACCGGGGATCGAACCCAAGACCTTCTTGCTGTGAGGCGTCGGTGCTAACCACTGAGCCGTCGTGCCGCTAAATATGTCCTGTCCCTCAGATTATAGACTAAATCTGTCCTGTCCCTTAGATTAAACCTTTCCTGTCCCTCAAATTAAATCTGTACTGTCCCTCAGATTAAACCTGTCCCATTCCTCAAATTGAATCTGTCATGTCCCTCAAATTACAGACTAAACCTGTCCTATCCCTCAGATTAAACCTTTCCTGTTCCTAAGATTAAACCTATCCTGTTCCTCAGATTAAATCTGTCCTGTCTCTCAGATTAAACATGTCCTGTCTCTCAGACTAAACCTGTCCTGTCCCTCAGATTACAGATTAAACCTGTTCTGTCCTTCAGATTACAGATTAAACCTGTTCTGTCCTTCAGATTACAGATTAAACCTGTTCTGTCCTTCAGATTACAGATTAAACCTGTCCTGTCCTTCAGATTACAGATTAAATCTGTTCCTCAGATTACAGAATAAATGTCCCTCAGATTAAACCTGTCCTGACCCTCAGATTAAACCTATCCTCTCCCTCAGATTAAACCTGCCCTGTCCCTCATATTATAGACTAAATCTGTCCTGTCCCTCAGATTAAACCTGTCTTTTCCCTCAGATTACAGATTAAATCTGTCCTGTCTTTCAGATTACAGATTAAACTCAACTTTTACAGAACATCTTTAACTGGAGAAGTCCGTCCAGCAGTTCTGCTTTGGTTTTTTTAAATAAATTCTGCGGTGAATCAGCTCAGTCTGAATCTGTGTCCAGCGAGGCCTTACCTCTTCTTCCTGCTGAGGCTCTGTGGCGTTGATGGATCTGTAGACCAGCAGGTATCCGGTTGCGCTGGGTGCAGCGTCCCACCTCACCTTCATGCTGTTCATGGTCTCGTCGTAAACCTTCATGTTCTTCACAGCTGACAGCGGTACTGAGAGGACAGAATCAGGACATGAACCACTCAGAGGACATCCAAGAGAGAATAGTGTTTTACACGTCTTACATTCAGTCTCAAGCTCGTATTACCAGCAGCCACCAAACATGGGTGATGATGAAATCACTGGTGTGTGTCTGTTAGTAAAATATCTGAAGGAAAGACTTACAGGTGGTCTCGCTGCCCTTCAGAGGATCACTGCTGACGTCTCCGGCCACAGCGTAAACATTCACCAAGTATTCTGTCAGGGGGGTCAGGTTCTGCAGAACTACAGTGGTCTCTGATCCGTCTACCAGAACCTGGAACCACCAAGAACTGGTTCAAACGTTTTGAAAACTTAAGGTCAAACACAAAAGTAAACTGAAAACTCCTGCCCATCTGTGCTGTGTTTTATTCTAAATCGTAAAAGAAACAAAGTCAATGTGTTTCTGTTTGATTCTTTATTTAGATGAAATTTAAAATCTTCATAACATTCTTTCTCAGGCTAATTGATTTGATTATTAAGAAATCAGAGGAAAAGAGCATTTCATTTTCCAAAAATGAGCCTTAAAAGAAACAATTAAAAACTTGAGAGGACTAAGGACGGAGCCTTGAGGAACACCGCCTTCAAATAATGTTGCAGCTGAAGACCAACTAAAAAATAAAAATACTTTTCAAGCTTTTCCTTTTCATTCTTCTTCCAGGTGTAAAATTTTGTTTCATGTAGTTTTTACCTTATCTGCTAGGTAATTCTAAAAATGTGCTGAGTCATTGGTTGCCATGGAAAGTCCCACCTTTACTGATCCAGAATCTGCTACCAAATATCAGAGCTCACTATTTATGACCACAACACACATTTAAATTGATTTTTTTTGTGATTAGCATCAAGGGCTTCATTCTTGTAGATTTAGTTTCAAACAGAATTAGTTTAAATCTAAGGTAAGACATGAATTTAAAAATGTTTATTTCAAATGTTGATTGTTTACAGTGGAACATATCATATCTGATGAAAGCTTTGTTCAGTCAATGAGAAACTCCAGAACTCAGTCAAAATGTAAAACATGTTTCTGGGCAGAGGTTCAGAATCTTCTTCAAAGAACTGAAAGCTTTATTTAAAAATCTCTTTTCCTTTTCTGATCCACAAAAAAAAAAAAAAATCAAACGAGGTTTCAAAAACCAAAGTTGGTTTTGTTTATGAACCTGACGTGTTTTAAAACAGAAAAAAATGTGATTCACATCAAGTCTGTGGAGAAATCTGACAGTAAAATATAGAAAAAAAATCTCAAATATTTTGTCTGATTAAAGACAAACGGGTTCTGATGGGTCCAAACTGAAACCTGCTGGTCCAAAACTCGTTCAAGTGTTCAGTATGGATCCAGGTTTTTGTCTCAGCGCTCGGTCCAGTCCTGATTTTGGTCCTAATGAGGCAGGTTTCAGTCAGAGGTTTAGATTTTTTTACTGATAGTTTTTGTCACGTTGGAGCTGAAGACGTCACTGTTGTTTGGTCCGTTCTGGATCTGGGATCTGAAGTCCTTCAGGACCTGGTGCTGTGCTGACTTGTGTTAATGGATCGCTCAGATTCATGAAGAACCTAACCGTCAGGAGTTAGGAACCAGACACAATTTAAAAAAATGTGTCAGGAAAAAATCAGGAATCTTGTTCTTTAAAGTTTATCATCAGCCTGAAAGTCGTAAACATCTGAAACAAGGTTCTGAGCAGTACCAGAAGATCCAGTTCAGCTCCCTGCCAGTCTTTTCTTCTCTTCATTGTCCACAGTTTGGACTTTGGCCCGGTGGATTAGGATTCTTTGCACACATTGTGTCACATTCTGGCAGAAACATCAAACCTGCTGCTGGCTCAGAACTCAGGAATTCACTCTCGTGTTACTGCCGTAGTAAAACCCAACAGATAAAAGCTGCAGTAAATATTCTGTTCAGGTTCTGCTGCGCTGATCCACTCAGCCCGTCTGGACTAAGTGGATCCAGTGGAAACTCTGCAGGGTTCAAATGATTCTGATCAGAAAGAGCACCAATAAAAACAAAAAGCATGGCGGCGACCCAGGTCTGTGTTTTTAAGAAAGCAGGAAAGACAGGAGGTTAAGTGCAAACCAAATACAGGTTCACCAAAGAGCACGGGTCCAGATTTTAGTTCCTGAGGGTCTGAGGGAGCTGGGACCTTGAATAAAAACCAGACCCGGGATCTGAAAACACATCGACGAGACGACTGGAGACGACTGGAGTTCAGCAGACGAGATGAAAAACACCCCGACGTTCAAAACAGCAGGATTTGAGTTTGAACGTGACAAGACGGCCTCATCTCTGCGGAACCATGAGGTTCTGACTGGTTCCAGCTCCGACGGAGAGAATAAATCAAACCATCTGATGGTCGGGCAGCTCTCCAGAACCAACAGATTCTTCTGATGAAATAAAACCTGTGTGAAACGAACCCAGACGAGAACGAGACTCCCAAAACCTTTCATCCACACCAGGGCTAAGGTGCGATTTGGGTCTGGGTGTGTACTGGTACTGGTGATGGTACAACGTTCTGATGAAGTAATGTCAGTTTAATTTTTAACAACTCCATCTTCTCCTGCTTTAAGACATAAATAATCATATTTGTTGTATAAACTTCATATTATTGTCACCATATTTCAAATGGATCGAAATGAATTAATAATTTATTTGAAGCTACAAACCAGCAGCACACGGCTACATAAATGTTTTATCAGCATTGTTGTTTTGTTGTTTTGTTGTTGATAATTAAAACAATTGTTGTAAATATTACCAGATTTCATCCATTAATAACCTGTTTTCTGTTAATGTAACATTCTGGGTTTAAGCTGAAACTCAGCAGAGAGCAGTCGTGTTAAAACAGAGAGGTCGGGGGTCAGGGGTCAGCGTTCTCTCACCTCGTTGGTGGGTCCTCCAGCTGCCATCATGTAGGTGACTTGATATCTTTCCACAGGACCGTCAGGAGCCGTCCAGGTGGCCCTGAAGGAGTAGTGGGTCACCTCTGATGTCACTAGGTTGGTGGGCGCATCCAGACCAGAATCTGAAACCAAAATAAAGCAGACCTTGAATGTGACCAGACCACCAGGTCTGTGGAGGATCTAACTTCATTTCTTTACATTCAGAAAGTCAAAAGTTCAGCTGCTTCCAGCAACAAGTTCATCTCTGAACTTCATTTGTTTTCATTTTAAGTGAAGAAATAAGTAAAAAAAAAAAACGGTTCAGTCATAAACAGAAGGTTTTGCCGCCTGCAGCTCCAGCAGAAGCAGCTGAAAGGCTGCAGGAAAAATCTGAAACATTTATGAACGTCAGTAAATTCCAGACCAGCAGAACCTTTTGAACTTTCTGACTTTAAATCTCAGTAATTACTGCTGCAGCCTTTTTCTGACTCAAAGTTCATAAATCTAATCCCACATTTAAACTTTACATCCTGTCACCATCAGCAGCTCTTTTTGAAGGGTTTTTTCTAAAGAATTGTTATTTTCTACATGAAACATAAATCAGATTTACAGACACAATCTGAAACAAACGATGGCTTTATTTCGGTTGAAGGCTGGATTTTTGACTTCTGCCACTTTAATGACCATTTAGCTACTTTAAATGAGCCTTTAGCTGCTTTAAAATGAGCCTGTAGCTACTTTTGAATGAGCCTTTAGGTGCTTTAAATGAGCCTTTAGCTGCTTTTAAATAAGCCAGTAGCTACTTTGAATGAGCCTTTTGCTACTTTTAAATGAGTCTTCAGCTGCTTTAAAATGAGCCTTTTAGCTACTTTAAATGAGCTACATTAAATAAGTCTTTAGCTACTTCGAATTTATCTTTTTGTTGCTTTTAAATGAGCCTTTAGCCACTATTAAATCTGCTTTTTGTTTAAATGAATCTTTAGCTACTTTTATAAAATCTTTAGCTACTTTTAAAAGAGCTTTATGTTGCTTTAAAATGAGCCTTTAGCTACTTTTAAATGTGTTTTTTGTTGCTTTTAAAGGGATCCCTGATTAGTTGTAACATTAGACTTTATTTGATAAACATATATTTTAACTGTAAAATAAAGACTATAAAAATACTGTAGGCTGTTTAGTTTTGCAAATTTTAAAAATATATTTTAACACAGACAGACTAATTTTATTTACACACAAAGCATTCTGGGTAAATGATGACATGGATAGGTCCTCAGTGTGAGTGAGCTATATCCACCCTGAAGGTTAATCTTGGACAATATCTGATGATCGACTCTTTTAAATGCTTTTTGTATTCTTTTTTTAAACAAAAACTGTTCAAAAATATAGCTAATTTAGTATATTCAAGTCTGTTAGCCTTCACGCTAGCGCCAACGCTATATTGCCTTATATCTATTAGCTCAGCGCTAGTGTGACAAACTAACAAACTAAACTGAGGTTCTCCATCCATATTTTCAGTTACAGGCTGAGTCATTTTTGCGTTCCCCTCTCT